AGGTAGGAAAAAATGCATAGCATATTCAATTATTGCAGCTTCTTTATTTGCAATTACGCCATTTTTTTTTTTAAGAATAATTATACTTGTTACCTCTTCCTAGATTTCTTGTTTCTCTTTTAAATTTCGTTTCTCGAGCTTTCAGATTCTTCGTCAGTCTCTGATTTAACGTGACATCAAAATCTGTTATTACTAGACTGCGGATTTTAATGCATTTATAGAAAATTCAAAGGTAATATGAAAAAATCTGCAAAGTATCTGTAGATGGAATAATTTTCTACCCAAGTTCTACTTCTTTTACTATATTCTCAAAAACATAAATTTGCATGAAAATTCGCAGTCTAGGTACCACCTATACAATCAATATCTAAAACTTCAAAGTACACTTTTTGAAAGATTCTACCTAAAAAGATTTAAAGAAAACGAACCAATACAAAAATTACACTTAGGATAAGTTTTACTCTGGAGTTTTACTTATAAAAGGCAGGATTCGTCCTCTACGTTATAGATTTTTTGAACATTTTTCTCTAGAATTACTTATGCAATTGTAGTATCGGGGCCTCTGTACCCAAATAGGAAACCTCCAAGGGCGAATGGAGAGGGAGTGATTGGCGTAGCGCGCAAAGCCTCGGCTTGCTAAGCCGAAGGTCCCGGGTTCGATTCCCGTTGGGTCCTTCAAAATTTTTTCGTCGATTTCTACAATTATATTGTATTAGAAACCTTGCAAACATTGACCCCTTATCTTGCAAACTTTGAATATTTAGTAAAAGTGAAAAAATTATGTAGTATCGGGGCCTCCATGCCCAAATAGGAAACCTCGAAGGGACAATACAGAGGGAGTGGTTGGCGTAGCGCGCCAAACCGAAGGTCTCGGGTTCGATTCCCGTTGGGTCCCTCAATATTCTTCCCTAGGTTCCTACAAATGGGACTCGTCCGGGATGGAGGCATCTACGGCTACACGAAGCCAGGAGATGTGCGATGAAAGCATGTCGAGGTTGCACGTCTCCCAAATTGGTCGTTTCGGCTGTGTGCCACTGTGTGGGGGAGTGTGCCCGAAAGTGTTGCATTGAGGACATTCGAGGGCGAATGTCAGTTGAGGATGGCCGGGTGTAGTATCGGGGCCTCCATACCCAAATAGGAAACCTCCAAGGGAGAATAGAGAGGGAGTGGTTGGCGTGCAAAGCCGAAGGTCCCGGGTTCGACTCTCGTTGGGTCCCTCAATATTTTTTCGTCGGTTCCTACATATGTGACTTTGACCCACGCTTCTCGACTTTTCATCCCTCGCTCGTCACACTTTATAGCCAGCCCCTTCGTCGGCCTCTCGTCGCTTTTCCCGTTGGGCCCCAATTTCGTCTCTCGCCGCTCGCTCTCTCTTTCATGTTCGCCACTGTTTCCTTAAAACTTACGTTCTCTCAAAATTACGATACCACAATACCACAGTAGATAACAACATAGACGGATAATTTGGTAAATCGGCCCTGAACCGATGGGCAGAACTCCCGCCAAGCCAAAAGTAGCGCAAAAAAGGAAAGAAGAAAAGGGAAGTATCCTTCGGAAGACGAACACACGTTGATCGTCCCACGGTGTGTGTACCGCGATAAGCTTCACACGGTGAGAAGAATCGCTGGACGGCTAACACGCCATTATACCGCGGGTTCCGCAATTAAAGGCGGCGAGTCAACGAACAGGAAGTACGTCTTTCCTGAACGTTAACGGCGACAGAGTCCTCCATAGAATCGTTCTGTCCTATATTTTTTTTCCAGAACGCCCCGACAAAACCTACTTTATGCCGGGCGATTCAGCCTCCGCAATTAAATGCGACCGAGTATGAAACCATTGTGCGCCGTTGTTGTGTCATTCTTTTCTCTCTCTCTCTCTCTCTCTCTTCCTTTTTTTTTTTTTTTTAAAGAAATAACCTTCGGAAACCTCCTTTTCTTTGAAGAACGAGACGCGTAATCGTGAACCAGTTTTCTCGTAGGCCGTTGTTCTAGAAAAAGATATTCGGTCGTTGTGAGGTTATTTGGGGTGGAAAATTTGCTATACTTCTGTATTGTTTTAAGAAGAAGAATTTGGACAGGTCTTGGTGAAAATGAAATTAACTGTTTGTTCTGTTGAAAGTGGCGACGTTAATTATTTGGGTAATGTGTGCTGCTCTTTGGAGAATCGGAAATTTGCACCTGTCTGTGAAACGGAAATACGAGGAAACAGTGTAAACGAGGTAACTTTTTCTTTGTGCTTGGATGTGAGAAAGGTTGAGAGTGAAATCGAGTACTGAAAATTGCTTGGATTTGTTTAACGTTGCCTGACTTTCTCAATTAGCTTCGTGTTATTCCTGGAGAAGAGTGAATTTTACTGATCGGACATTTTATGAGAAATTTTAAGAAACGAAGTGTATAAATTATTTGCGAAATTTAACGGATTATAAATTCTAAAGAAACGTGGTTTAATTGGCTCTATTTTGCTCTGAAGTTGCATAGCAAAAATTGGAATAATTCACATTCGGGAATAATCTCTTCAACTTAACATTCTGCATTTTTGCTGTAACTTCTTAACGAAGCTTCAAACGACCCATATTTATATAACATTTCCTTCTTAATTATGCCCATAGAACATACTGACAGAGTTTCATCGAAAACATTTGGGACACCCGGTATATTCACATTTTCTCTTTTTGAACGTTACACTTCGTTAAATGGTGATTTTTTTTAGAATGAAAAAAAGAAAGCATGGAAAGAATTCAATAATGTTTTAGATACCGCAATTTCACGCTGCATTCCACAGAAATTCTCTCGAAACTATAGAAAAATGGTCGCGAAACTGCGAAACTTTTGATCGGGAAAAAAAGTCGCGACACGATTGAACGAAAATTGCGTTTCACGTGTAGAACTTTCGATTCGTCCCGAAGTGTCGACAACGAAAGGAAAATTAACTTGACGGAAGCTAGGTATCGTAAAGGGATTATCAATGGGAACGGAAGCTGTATCGATTAAGCAACTGCGACACCGACTTGCGGACGACGGGGTGGATAAACTTTGCCACGAGACCCGAGGATTAAGCGAGTTTGTAATCCATTGAACTTATCACGGTCAGTTAAGGGAAGCACGAGAGGGAATTCCGCAGCGAAAATCGTCCTCACGCCGTCGAGCTTCCCTTTTCAGTCTATCGCCCCCGTCGTAATTGCGTTATCGTCCATTAAGAGGGTATTTTAGTCTAGATATTTCTGTGGAATCGAATTTATTCCTCTTCGCCACTTCGTTGACGCGTTATCGATGTTGAACATTTACCGGCGCACTCATTTTCTTTCCTTTAACCCCTTAACGCACAGTTCTTTTGAAAAAAACCGGCCAAAAAAAATCAATTTTTTTAATGTAAAAAAAACAAACTTTAGAACATTGTTTTGGCAAAAAAATAAAAAAAATTCAAAATTAATCAAAATTTTTAGTTTAATTTTGGATTTTGATCCACATTACAGAAAAGAGCCGAAAGAGGCTATATTTTATTTTCGAATAAATAAGTATTATAGCTTACAATCCTATGTAAATGATAAATATCAATAACACGATTCTTTTTCTTAGCTTTCACATTGTTATTTTCAATTCTCGAATATATTCGAGTGTGAAAAATTATAGCAGCATCAAATACAACGCCGCTCGAATTATCTCGAGTGTGCACAGTTTGGCCTGTTTAGCGCGCTCGAATTAACTCGAGCGTGCAAGTTAAGGGGTTAATAATCGACGGTTCTTATTTTTCGAGCGTTCGCGATGAGAGTTCACTTCTTCCAATTTTTTACCAACGCTTGAAAAATAAAAGACGGTGATTTACGTCTCTCGTCGATACTTTGTCAGAATTATTTACACACAAAATTGTCGCAATTTGAGGTCTAATGTTTGAGGAGAGCGAAAAGGAAAATTAAGTTACTTACAGAATTGCGAAACACACGTTTATTCATTTCACAGTATCGCAGTTTTCGTGGAATGAAAATTCATAATTTTTAAACTGTGACACTATTTAGTTTACTCTCTTTTTCGCTGTAACGTTTGCGCCGGTGTATTTCTCGAAGCAACTAACGTATCCTGGTGAAAAAAATCACACGTTTCCCTGAAACACGTGTAAATCAGTGTGAAAAATTTGGAACGCCTGCCGTCGGTAGTGTTTGAGTAAAAAAATCCGAAAGAAGTGTGTTTTCTTTCCTTCTTAACAGGCAAACAAACCCCCCTCCTCTACTTTTGTCCACTCGAGAAAATTGGAGAGCCGGTGGAAAAAGTAGTCGGACGAATAAATCACCGAAACGAGTTGCAATCTGAAAGAAAAGATTCGAATCTCTGTAAGGAATTAAACGCCTCGTTTGGCCGTTAATTGCGACGCTTCCCCGCGCGGTGATCAGATCATGTACGAAACGAAAGTGCGCTAATTATGCCGCGTAACTCTCTGTGCTCCGATTACCGCGTTCAACGAGATTCAACCGCAGAAGAAACCAATAGAATCTCGTTCCACGCGGAATTTTAATTTCCGTTCGACAGAAAGTAAACACGCCGCTGCGTGAACAGCTGTTGCAACTTGCCGCATACACGCGGAAATTGCGGTTTCTGCAACTGGAACGTCTATACTGCAAGTGTCTATATTTTTTTTTTTTTTCACGTAAAAGCTGATCCTCCTAACAGCACCATCACCCTGAAGATCCTTTAAAACCGTATCCTCTGTAAAAAGAAATTTAGACCAATCGTTTAATAACAAAAATAATTGAATTATCCAAGTGAAATAAACCACCCTGTAGATTCCTCAAGATATTTCCCGCGCAAACCTCCCAAGTTCGCCCAAAATTCCCTGGAAAATTCACAGGAGAAGGAGAAGACAGGGCAACAAATAAAGAAACACCTCGTCAAACTCCACCGATTGCATATTACAAAACAATAGATAAGCTTTATTAGTCGATATTTTACAGTTCACGCGATCAGCGTCTGCGTATCGTGCTCTCGATATTCAACGAATCGAGCGTGCCTAGCTTCCCAACAATTCGTCTCTCGTGAAAACCACCAAGAGACGTTGCTTCTTCTTATGAAACGAAAAAAAAAATCCAAGAAAAAAAACAAAGAAAGAAAATTCGAGTCGAGGCAACGCTTGCACGCCCGAAACGAAACGATAGATCCGTCTGGGTTTGCCAGCGACGCGACAGCGTGTCTACCTCTCCGTAACGTGTTTAACATGCGATATACTTCTCGTAGCACCTTATAGTCTTAAATAGGAGGAGGCGCGTGTGTGCCTGTGTTGTAAGGCCATTGGTACCGGGGACGACGGTGTCGTTTCGAGCACGTGCGCGTCCTTTTTACCTCCACGCGAGACCAACAGGATCCGCGCGGGAGCCTCAGCAATGTGGACAGCGGATCAAACCGTTCACGTCGCATTTCGCGCACTTCAGCGCGACGAATTCCGCGGTGAAGTCGTTGCGATGCACGGACCTCTTGCTGCCGTTGCAAATCGGGCACAGCTGCCATTGGTAACCGCCGCAGAATAAGCAAACCGTGCACGCGTCCTCGCTCTGAAACGTAGAAAAATAATAGGGGGACTGAGTGATCGTTTTCTTCGTAAGGTGGTTGAGGTTTGTGAATGGATTTCAGTGTTCCTACGAGGTTTCGAATTTTTTTTCCAAAGTTGTTTGCTTGTTTTTATTTCATTTGGAGGGGTTTGATGGGGGGTGTGGAAGTGATAGCTTGTTTATCGAGGAAGACGAGTTAACTCGTCGTTGGTTAGTTAAGGTTTATTTTCAAGGGTAATGTGACCGCTTGCATAGCGGTGCCTGGGTCCGCTCAAACCCGAGTATGAAGCCAGGAAGCCACTTGTTTGTGTCTGAGAAATTCATAAAATAAATTGCGGTAATAATAAGAATTTTGTGTTTAATCGGCCTAACCATCCCGTATGGTCCATCCGCGAAATACATCATATTCACATTTGCTGGAACTAGGATGAAGTAAGAGGTTACCATTTTTAATCATAAACTGAACCTCTACTTGGCAGCATCAACTTCTTTGTAGGAACCTTGATCTGGTTCTCAAGAACATTCGAGCATGTCACCTTCGCTCATAAGCGATGGATTCAGCGTGAACGAAGTCGCATTTGTTATTGTTCCGTGCCCAAGAGTCCAACGCTCTACTGTTGTTTACGAAAAAGCCGGTACTGTGCGGAGCTGAGAAATTAGCGCACGGAATAACACCAGGGGCAAGCGAAGTACAGTGCTGCCGCGTTAGCTGACCGCGGCTCGAGACCAAATCTGGTCAGCTATCAAGGCAAGTATATAAATAGTGTTCTAGGGAATCCCAGATGTTTCTTCTCCATTGAGCACGAGCGAGACACAGATACAAGAAATATCGAGGTCCTTGTTTAGCTTAGACAAGGACTGGAGGGGAAATCCCGGCCAGCTAACGCGACGACACTACTGTGCGGTGCGCAGGAGCTTGCCCGCGGGGCGGCACAGGGGCAAGAAGGGCACTTCGCTCGCGCCTTTTAACTTTCGCCTCGCAATTTTAAATAATCGATTCGTCAATGTTATCATTTCAATAATGACACTAGTGTAAGCCACCCTTTCAAGCATCCAAAGTTCCCAAGCTTCCGCCTATTCCTCCATTCGACTCATGGTTATCCACTCTCTATCCGAACCTCTGCCGAGGGCGCCCAAGCGGGACTTGAACCCCAACTGACGTAAGGGATTTTTTCTCTTGGGTTTCGATTTCTAGGCGTTAGTAATGGCGGTACTAATTTTGTACGAAATTTCAACCCGAGTTAATAATAATAATACGCGTGCCCAGTTTCTACGATTGTGTTAGAGAAGGTGGGCCTGTGGAGATATGACCCAATTAAACCTGTACCTCTTGTGCCCGCAAATTTCTCAGTTCTGCATAGTACCAGTAACCGATGATCCAACGTCATCACGATACCGAATGTTCTAGAAGAATCTGATCACGGAATCAACACTATGAATGTGCCGAACATAATTCCGGAAGTCTTAGAGACGAACCTAATGCCCTCTTTGAATATGACTGCCGGACACTGTCGTTTAACGATTATAAAACAACCGTGACGATTCTCGTTCCTACATTAGTCTTCAACGCGTGTTCGACCATGTTGCACAATCCTGCTTTCACTTTTACTCATTTTCAATTGCATTCTTTGTGAAAAAAAAGAAAAGAAACGTAGGTACGTCAGGCTCCAGGAGGAATGTGGGAAATGAAATTGTTTGTGTTAACTTCCTCGAGTTTGACGTTCGTGGTGTCGAAACATGATTCAACGTCGGACCTTTTTTATGCTTGACTAATGTGCTGTTCAATGGTCGATCGACGTGTTACGTTCTTAAGTATTCAAGGAATGGACCAAGGAAAATACCATTGAAGCAATGAAGTAAGGAAGACAATTTTTAGAGTGAAAAATAGAAAGTTCATTTATTTTTGAAAATTATTAAAAAGAATAGAAGAACTATCCATTTATTTTTTAATTGCTGAGAAGATTTATCTGTTTATTTTTTAATTATTGAGAAGAATTATACATTTGTTTTTTAATTATTGAGAAAAATTGTTCGCCATGTCCTTTTTCAATTCAGTAGTAAAATACAGAGATTTGACGAAAGAAAAGAGTGTAGACACGCAACAAAAACGACACTAGTATTCAACATCTATTGTTATGGAAAACAGCCGGAATCTATATTTTTCGAATTCAATAAAATTCCAGCGAACAATGGGTTGGATAGAATACAATATCGACGTAATACTCGATGCTTCTTTACCTGCAGTTCTACCACGGCGTAGATGACAAGACGCGCTTGGTATTCAACGTGTTAATGAAATAGGCACTACGTATATATTGCATGCATAAACTGTGCGTTTATCGATGGAAGATTAGAATAGCGATGATACATTATGCAAGTATTGCGTAAAGATACGAGGAGGGGGGAGCGTACGTTGTGGGCGTCGTTTAATTACGAATCTCTCCAACACGCTAAACGAGTCGGTAATTAACTTTCGTTCGAAGTCGAGAAAAAATACTTCTTACTGTGCTTTTCTCGTGAATCGGTGTCACGATGATCTCAGATTTTCTCTTCGAGTTTATTGCTGTTACGTGCGTCTTTCGATTATGCGAAGTGTAATTCTATGCTCGATTGTTTGTGAGAATTACATTCTTGGAATTTATACTTTTTATAAAAATTAACTGGAAAATCTAAACAGGATAATGCTCTTAATTTTTGTATTAATTGAAAATTTTGCACTCCATCACCCGCAAATGAATGTATTTAGTTGTAAAGCGAAGTATTTCATTCAAATCTACTACTTTCGTTATAATCTAGAAGATCTACAAAATTCAACATCTAGCCAATGAGAAATACAGTTTCCTTTCACGAATTACGAACGTTAAACCTAGTCTTAGGGTAAAATTGTAGAGAGTTGCTCTCGAGAGTCAATTTTAGTAGAGTCCACTGTATTGAGAGTGCAGGCAGAGAGTTGGATACACAGTCTGAGAGTACTCTCGAGAGCAACTATCGTGAAAATCTCTGAGATCAATCACAGAAGTAAGTACTGTGCGGTGCTCAGGAGTTTGCCCGCGGGGCGGCTCAGGGGCAAGCAAGGGCAGGAAGGGCAATTCACTTGCCCCGCCCGAATCTTCTGCTATGTGAGGATAAGTGTGCTCTATTTTTACGATTGTGTTGGAGAAGGTGGCCTTATGGAAATGTAACTCAATCAAACCCGCATTTCTTCCGCGAAACATCTTTTCAGCTCTGCACAGTAAGTATGTACTGCGCAGTGCTCAGGAGTTTGCCCGCAGGGCGGCACACGGGCAAAAAAGGGCATTTCGCCCGCAACTCTCGAATCTTTCGCTACGCGGTGCTACATCATTCGATTCGTCGATGTTATCGCGTTCGGCCAACAATGCTCTATTTTTACGATTGTATTAGAGAAGGTGGACCTATGAAAACATAATTTAATCAGACTCGCATTCCTTCCGCACGCAAAATTCTCAGCTCTGCACAGTGCATACTGTGTAGTGCTCAGAAGTTTGCCCGCGGGGCAGCACAGGGGCAAGCAAGGGCAAAAGGGCATTTCACTTGCCTCGCCCGAATCTTCCGCCACGCAATTTTATATGATCCGATTCTTCAATGTTACCCTGACGATATTTCTATAATTATGTTAAAAAAAGATGACCTCACGGGCGTACGACTCAATCAGACCCGCAATCTTTCCAAGGGCAAACTCCCGAGCCCTCCGCAATAAATACTTATTCCAATGCACATTTTTATCCAAAAAATGACTTGCCCAATTGATTTATAAAACGAACCTCGGTAAGAACGGTGTCCTTGCACTGGTATAAATCCAAAGGACGCCCACGAGGTGTTCCTGTAGGGCTCGCAGCACGGAAAGAATACGAGGAAAGTGATAGTGGTAGGTTGCAGGACAGTGTAAACGACCTTTACTCGTTGCTGCAAGGTAAACCTCAATTGCACGACGTCGAAATTTATGATCGCGATGGAAAAGGAAGGTGGAGAGGTAGATATCGTTGGATAAAAGTGAAAGGATTGTACAACCTTGCGTTCGCGACGTATTACGGTGCACGCGCGCGCGCGAGCGCCTTCAAGCACGCTCAAGTTCCTTTATGGCCGCACAGTTATGTGTATAATGCCCGCGACACAACTTGTTCCATTCTTCCACGCGGCATAAATATTCCGAAGACATGGAACATAGTTACGTAGCGAATTCTTAGAACAGATACGGAATTCTTCAAGGGTCGAATAATTCTTCAGCAGGCAGGAATATCGATAGGCCTGGCGTTCTCTCTTCCGAGAAGAAGAGTTCTCTCTAAATCCGAGTGTGTCCGGCAATGGCTAAGCCGAACGAACTGGATTCTTTCGACGGTGAAGGCTGGACGAAAGTCAGTCGAAGACGGATCGTGAGAGATATTAAATTCTCTGATGTTAGTCCTTGTATTTTTTTTTTTTCTGGCGGCAAATTTCGTTCGAGAGAAATATTGAGTGGAAGTTTCTGCGGTACTGTAAGGACTTTCTGGAAGACGTATGGTGATTTTTATTCGAACTGAAAGTGATGGATAAGTGTTTCTTAGGACGACGATTTATCGTTTGGTAGTTGCTTAATTAGACGAGTTTTTTAAGTTTTTGAATTTTAAGTAAGAAGGAATAGGTGGCCTTTAGCATTGGAGCAACCAGAGCTGAATGTAGGATATTTTCTTCCTCGTGGCATATTTGGGTAAACCTTATAAAGAACTTCAAAATTAGAATGATTAATGGAAAATAAATTGGGATGTACAAATGTTTCTATATTTCAAAAAATAAAGTAATGTTAATGAATTTGGTCGTTCCAGTGCGTTGCTAAAGTGAGATCGAGCTTAAATTACGGAGGCAATTCTAACCTGAAGACGCTAATAATAACGCTGAAATTTTCTATTTAATTTACAACGAAACATAGAAGAATATCCTCGAGTATAACTATTCTAGGATACTGCAACTTTCGTATATTTATAACAGAGTCTATATAAAAAAAATCGCTCACCAGTAAGAGCCTTTGTATCGCCACTCGCTAATCGATACTCATTTCGTGAAAATTAATCGTTCTTCGTTAACTCTGTATCGTCAATTTAAAAATAAAGGGGGAAAAAATACACGCTCGGCGTTTATTTCAGCGAGTTACAAGCCAACCAACGAGAAATAAATTGAAGAGTACACTTCTGGTGGTAAACAAAAAAAAAAAAGCAGGTCATTCATTCCATTTAAAAATTAGCAAAATTTTGCAAGACCTTGAGATGACCTTCACACTCGAACTTAGAAAATAATTTAGAAATATAATAAATCAAATAAAATACAATAATTTTGGAAATATAGTATACTTTCTTCACATTTTTTATTCTCTGCAAACAACAAAATAATCAAGGGTGGCAAAAGTAAGCAAAAAATGGCCCCTCGTCCTTTTTCTCAGCGTTTAAGTTAATCTCGTGCAAGGTATTTAAAATTTTTCGAGATAAAAGCAAAGTGCCACTTGAATCTGACTGTTTTGCTTAAACAAATATTCCAGGAAAATTAAAAAAAAAAAGAAAAAATACTTCCACATATCCTCAAATATAATAGGAAAAAATAGATCCTCGTCGTTTTTTCCTTAACTCTTCAATCATGCTCGTAGACAGAAGCTTAAAAAAGCGTAACTTGCAATTACCTGGTAAGGCTTAAGCATATCTCTGAGCTCTCCGGATTCGTTGAGCCGCTCCACGGTGTCAAATCCCTGGAACAAGAAAGAACTTTTAACAACTGGGGAACCGCCTAACTCCTAACTATCTGATATTAAATAAAACTCGAAAGGTGACGAAAAAAAAAAAAATATTCCGCCCGTGTTTTTTTTCTTTCCGCGTCTACGGTTGTACGTTTCGCGTTCCGCGTGTTCGCGCGATGTACAGCGGGAGATAAGTCGATTATAATTTCAAATGCGCCATAATCGGTTGGAGGATCGCGTTATAAGAGCGCCGCTTCCGAAGGTCATATAAACGAGGGAAATCGCATTAAAATATTTATGACGTGACTAACAGCAGCCATAATCACTTTGGTTTTGCTGTCAAGCGATTTCCCTATTTCACGATATTTTATCGCCGACCGTTTAGCGGTATAGCACGGGGCCATGATACAACCAACGGTCGTAAATTAAATCCTCGGAAATGCACCACCGATTGATGTCGCCGCACTTAAAGCAGTACGTGCTGTATTCAGTTTTCGGTTTCTGTAGGATGGAACAACGAACACTTATGTGTGACTAACGGTATATCGTTTGGTTAGGAAAAGTGGAAAATCTGTAAATGTTAATTACTGTTTGGAATATTTTCTGTGGGAGAGGGAATTTTTTTAGAATTTTAGAAAAGGAAGATTCTGGTCGTAACTTTCTTTTATTTTTCGTAAGGGTTTTCTATTTTTCTAAAGTTACTACTGTTCGGCCATTGTGGCGTTACATTCGCTCTTGAATGCATTCTAAATTTTCTTTTTTTTTTGAAGGTACTAAACTACTTTGGTGCTCAAAAATTGCGCCGTGGATTCTCAAAATTAAAAAATTCACAAATTTCAAAGCTAAACGAGAACGCACACTCTTCGAAATTTTGCTATTTTTGCGTCCAGAGGACCAACGAAGTATCAGGTGTCTCTAAAGTTCTCGACGACAGTGCTGCTTCCTAGTGGCGCGAAAGTGAATCTCACTTTTGAATTGTCTTTCTTTCAAAGCTACCAAACCACTTTGGCCCTCAAAAATTGCGCCGTGGATTCTCAAAATTAAAAAATTCACAAATTTCAAAGCTAACCGAGAACGCACACTCTTCGAAATTTTGCTATTTTTGCGTCCAAAGGACCAACGAAATACATGTCGCCGCACTTAAAGCAGTACGTGCTGTATTCAGTTTTCGGTTTCTGTAGGATGGAACAACGAACACTTATGTGTGACTAACGGTATATCGTTTGGTTAGGAAAAGTGGAAAATCTGTAAATGTTAATTACTGTTTGGAATATTTTCTGTGGGAGAGGGAATTTTTTTAGAATTTTAGAAAAGGAAGATTCTGGTCGTAACTTTCTTTTATTTTTCGTAAGGGTTATCTATTTTTCTAAAGTTACTACTGTTCGGCCATTGTGGCGTTACATTCGCTCTTGAATGCATTCTAAATTTTCTTTTTTTTTTGAAGGTACTAAACTACTTTGGTGCTCAAAAATTGCGCCGAGGATTCTCAAAATTAAAAAATTCACAAATTTCAAAGCTAACCGAGAACGCACACTCTTCAAAATTTCGATACTTTTGCGTCCAGAGGACCAACGAAGTATCAGGTGTCTCTAAAGTTCTCGACGACAGTGCTGCTTCCTAGTGGCGCGAAAGTGAATCTTACTTTTGAATTGTAGGGAAGGGAGAATTTCTCAAGTCTTTTAAAAGAGGTTTCCACGTCGAGATTCGAATTGATGATCTTCAAAACATTTCTTCGTGCTCGGATTTCTGTCAATTCGATTATCTCCACATAAGAAACATTTTTACTTTGATTCCTGACCAATTTTACAAGTCTCACTATATTGTGGTTCATGCTATATCGTTTAATCTTCATACGGCCACAATTTAAAATGACTTCGAAAATCTTCATTTTTCACCATTTACATTAAATAACAAAAAACATTCATAACAAGTGTAGTTACTCATTCATTAACTTAATTACAATTTCTACTGATTTCTCCTTACCTCATACTTCACAATTTTTTTTCATCTTGTTTCACTTTTCCTTTTTTTTTATGGCAAGTTTGCATGCAACACGTCGGTTTTGCAGTGAAAGGAATTGGCAGATAAAGCGGAGGTGGACTGTAAAAACGTGATCTCGATTTTTAGGTTAGTTCGTAGAAATATTTCGTCACTAGAGTGTCGGGACAAGAACTGGTATGATATAGAACCTTCTCTTGAGGTTTTCTGTCGTGACTCGACGCTGATAATTTCTCACTTTTTACCACATACACGAATTTTCAACAGATTCATTTTTCATCGCAAACAATCCAACGAAAAGTTAAAAATATGAATTTTACGAACGTATATTAAAGGATACCTTGTTCCTTTTTTTTTTTCTTCCTTTCCTACGAATATTTTACCGTCAAGGAATATCGACTGGCTATGAAATTTAATTTCCTCTGGTAATTGGCATTTTTCAATGCGAATTGGTGACATTTATTAGAAACGCAACCTTGGAGGTTGTACCGTCGACCTTCCTTTTCCTTTCGTCGTGTTTTAAAGAGCGAGCAGAAGACGTAGTAGAAGACTTTTTTAATTAAAGTTCCTCTAGAACGATAGCGAATGATTTCTAAAGTTCGTCTCATAAAAGGTTTCGACTTGGACGAACAGTTTCCGGTTGAAATTATGCTAACAACAGACGAAACAAAAAAAAAAAAACGTACAAACGTCAGTTTATTTGTTTAAAAAAATGTGTTTTCTATCTAGATAAAAAGTTCCTACGAAAATGAAGAATTACAAGTTTCAATCACGCTTGTCGTTTTTTATCAATTATTTAACACGAAATCCTTTCCTTAAGAAAGTAACGAACACCGACAAATTTATCACTAAAGCATACAGTAATCCACGTTAACAGCATAACCATAATCTCGTTAAAATTGCAACACGGTGTAGTAATCAATCTCTCTCCACCGTGAGTCATCAATCTTTAATTAGGTACGGAGGGTGTTCTCGGCACCCCAGTTGTGTTATTTCTGGGATATTTTGTTACATTACTTAGCCACGCTACTCAGCTGTCATGTACCTTCCTTTTCAGAACTTTTATCAAACTTGTGAAACGAAAAATTGCCTGCACCGATAATGAGTGTAAAAAAACATAATAAATATATGAAAAGTATGGTACAATGTATTAAAAATTTGTGTATTACTATAAAATTAATTATATATTATACATGTATTATAAATAAATTCAAAATCAAGTGTTTGCATAATTATCTACACAATTAACTGCCCAAGTGAATCAGACCCTAATATTACAAAAATTATCGAAACGACAATTGAGCCGTTCAGTGCACAAATCGCAAACTCCATTAAAATGAGAAGTCGAGAAATTATTATAAATATAAAAAGTTATGACTATACCAAGTGCTTTGACACTTAAATTTCAGATTTTTCAAAAAGTGGAGTTAATCGATTTGTGCACTGAACGGCTCATATATCTCTCGAACGAAAATTCATCGGATTGTAATATCTGCATACATGAAAAATAAAAGTTCTCCCTAGCCAAAATCGTTTTTTCTGAAATAAAGATAGACTCTTCAAATGTGATTTATTCTTTCTGACACGCTGTCGTCGATACGGCGATAAAGAATGTCTCTCTGGTCCCAACCAAAACTGTCCATTGATCTGGCTTACTCGCAGTCCACGAGAAAATCTCCCCTTTCGACACTAAACAGATGGCCGTAGACCGCTTTTTTCAAAGAATACAGGGAGTTTCACATTTTCTCACATATCCATCACAGACACTTTAAAGAAAAAAGAATTCAGTCGTGAATGAGTTAACCTTTGCAGCCCTATATCTTACGTCTGCTCTCAGTTATCGAAACACTCATACCACACGACAGAAAAATATAAAACCTACAATTTTTATTCATACGTAAAATTGAAAAAAAAATTCAGTCGTGAATGAGTTAACCTTTGCAGTCTTATGTTTCACATCTGCTCTCAGCCATTAACCCTCTACTGTCGACACACCGTTTTTGGGACGTAGAGCCCGGTAACGGGGTAACTCCCGAACTTACAGTTAGTTTATACGTAAATACAGAACATATCTGTAAGCACCACTCGAAAACAAAGAATTAAAGTCAGGATAGTGCAGTATCCCAAAAATAACTTATTCTGTATTTCTAAGCGCTTCTTAAGATTTCCGGCGTCCGTCTCGCTCGACGGCTATTTCCAGAGTGTCCTCTCCGCGTCGTATCCCGCGTTGCTCCGAAAAACCGTTGGAGCCCCCTCGTTCGACTTTCCGGGGAAAGGGCTTAGTTTATGGTACCCTCAGGTACCCGCGCGTTTTCTCTTCCTGGGTGACAAAGTCCAGGCCACCACTTCGCCGCCGGAATCTCGCATTTCTTACATATCTGACAACTTTTCTTACCGATTTACCTTTATCGCACATCTTCCTAATGAACATTATCGAATAAAGTGTGGAGTTCTAAATGGAATGGAAGAAAACAGAAAAGATAGAATCAGCGGAGTCTCTCGGACACTCAGACCCTCGGTAGAGGGTCAAAGCGCTCATATCACACGATAGAGAAATATAAAATACAATTTTTATTCCTACGTAAAATTGAAAAAAAAAAAGAGATTAACCTTTGCAGTCTCGTGCCTTATATCTGCTCTCGGCCATCAAAGGACTCATATCGCACTGTGATGCCCGGTTTGCTCCAATTCCGCGAAACTAGGAGCAGATATTGGGGTGTCGCTGAGTTGAAACACTTCAGGATCGTCGGTGCGTAAAAACAGAACTTTATTTGACGAAGATTTTTGATGACTGTGATGCCCGGTTTGCTCCAATTCCGCGAAACTAGGAGCAGATATTGGGGTGTCGCTGAGTTAAAACACTTAGGGATCGTTGTTGCGTGAAACAGAACTTTATTTAACAGAGATTTTTGAGCGAAATAGGGCTATTTAAGGGTCCTGGGAAGATGGACTTTGGGGTTGTGACTATGCAGGAGAGATGGAAGGTGAAGAGTCCATGATGACAGTGGGTGACT